TCTCGCTTCTCTCTCTCTCTCTCTCTCTCTCTCTCTCTCTCTCTCTCTCTCTCTCTCTCGTAAAGACCCATGAGCTAAATCAGTACGTAGAATTTCTCCCACCCATCAGCGGGATCAGTACAGCGAAATTCCTCGTCCGTCGCGGCTAGTTTCCCTTGACCCGAATACAACGTATGGGCATTATAGCTGTATTTGGGATATCTTTCCGTCTAAATAGAGCAATAATGACCGTACGTTGTATTCGGGTGAAGAAGATAGTTTCTCTTCACACGCATTGTCAACTCGTCGTCAGTTCCGCTGGGTGGGAAAAAAGGGAAAGAAAAACATAAAAGCCGATCGAGAAATAAGAAACCGTTATTACGAAAATTGCGTCCAGCTACACCGTAGAAATACTCGGCAAAAAATGTGCATACTCTCCGCGCAGCCGGCAACGAATCGTAGGAGCAAATTGCGTCCAGTTACATCGTAGTGGTTACGTGCACTCGGCAATGTGTGCGACGCGACCACCCCTACCCGAAAAAGCAAATTCCGTCTCAAATTTCAATCCGTCCGTTCATTCATTTATCATGACTTGTTACAAAGACCCCGACCTGCTATAGCATAGCTTATCTATAGCATTTGCCCCCCCACCAAATGATTCCTACATGGAGGCTCGCAAGAGTCAGAGCTGCGGCGGAGCCTCTACCAGGCTGAAAAGCATGACTGCAATCACTAAATTTCTCTTCGTAGATCATCTCCAGTATGACCTGCATAAACTAGTTTGGACTGAATTAACACAAATATGGCGAAGTAACAATATCCGCGTAAGTTTTTTTTTTGAATTCAGTAAATGGAGGCTACGCTGTAGCAATTGCAGGTCATATAGCTTTTCTTCCTAAGAGTCTTCGAAAAAGCCGAAAAGTTTTTCATAGTCAATTGAGAATGTTCTGAGCTGCTCGGTAGGTCTATAACATATGATGTCTACAGCATTTCGCCCCCTACCGAAATGTGAACTGGTCGCTATGTCTATAGCATAAGACGTTTATAGCATTTCCAACTGCTATGTCTATAGCATAAGATGTTTATAGCATTTCCAACTGTTTTTCCTCTGTCTATAACATAGGATGTCTATAGCATTTCCCTCCGACCCAAATATGAGCTGGTCGGTATGTCTATAGCAAATCCACCCCCGACCCCAAAACACAAACACACCGAGGGCTTTTTCGCCAGCCGAATAGACTGGGACGGGCGGCACGGGACGGCACCGCACTGCACGGGACGGCACAGATATCTCAATTTACGTACTTTGCAGCAAACCAATCACATTTTCACACAAGTGGATATTGGGCATCGCTACACTACTCACCAAATGTGTGAAATGAGAATGCATCTTCTGCTACAACATGGGCAGATACACCGCCATATTTTTTTGTCTTTTATGCATGTGGGTGAGTGGTGGAGCTAGTACCATCGTTACGCGGAACCGCACTCAACTGCTTACGACCGGACAAAACCATCTTCACCCGAATGGAACGGCTGGTCGCTATCTCTGTATCTCGATCGAATGCTGGTCCAAATGCATGTAAGAAAAAATGACCACGCATTCTACTCGGACGACGACGGTAATTAAGAAAAATTTAAGTGAAAATTGTTACACGGACAAGTTCACCTGGGTAAAGAGCGGCCCAGCTCAAGGGGACTCCGACGAACTAACAAGCAGAAGTCGGAATGGCTGTGGCCATATCAGACAGAACATTCAGATGTGATATGCATATCACAATCATACAAATAAGTTGCAACGCCGAAAATTCAAAAAAAGGAGAGAGAGAGCGAAAGAGAGAGAAGAGAGAGCGAAAGAGAGAGAAGAGAGAGAAGAGAGAGAAGAGAGAAGAGAGAGAGAGAGAGAGGAGAGGAGAGAGGAGAGAGGAGAGGGGAGAGGGGAGAGGGGAGAGGAGAAGAGCAGCGAGAAAGTACACGAGAAGTCGGGCAAAAGATCGTGCGCTCGACGCATGCATGCTACCGGTAGTAGGTCGGACGGAGATAGGCAGCCAAGAGCTCGCCAGCTTTTTACGTGACTACCGTCTTCACCCCAATAGAACGACCAGTCACTATTAGCTGTATATGGGGCAACTTTCGGTCTAAATACAGGGTGAAGACCGTCATATGGAAGGGAAAGTCGGCTAGAGCCGAGAAGCCCTAGAGCTCGACGCCCTGACCAGTATGTCAGACCAAGTTCTGGGCAAACGGTTCTGTCCCGTAAGAAGCCAGCCCAGTCTGATAAGAGGTTGAGATTGAAAACGACAGAAGCGGAAGAGGGAGAGGAGATGAAAAAGCTCCCGGAGCGGAAACGGCAAGAGACAGACGAGCAGGAGGAAGAGAGAGGAAAGGAGGAGGAAGAGGAGGAAAGAAATGTCCAAAAAGTTCAGCAATCGAAAGTTATTTATGTCAAGAAAGCAGCAAATTACACACATTGAGGGCATACTCACACAACTAGGGCTTTTTTTCAAATTCTCAGTACACGTAATTGCGGTCAGGTGCATCCGGGTGCAGTCGGATAAGCGTGCATATACATCCAGAAAAGTTGTAGTGTGAGTACGCCCTGAGAACAGGAAAGGCATTCTCCTAACAGCGAGGAGCGAGCGTAGCGCTGGCTGGCTTCACCTCAGTAAGAAGCGAACACTCGGGCGAAGTCGACAATACTACCACCTCCATGCATCTGACCGGAATTAGCGACAAATACATGCACGGAACGCTCCCAGCGCCACGGCCAGTGGATCATCGATCGCGCGCCCAGCTGTTGGGCCATGTGCAAAATGAGACTGAATATTCCCCTAGAAGATGGAAAGATACATTACCATATTTTTCCTCTCTCTTTTGTGCATGTGCAGAGTGGTAGAGCGAGGCCCGTTGGGCGTGTATGTGCCAGCACGAGTACGTCAACCCCAAGGACGGAGGGCACGAAAAAAGCCAAAAACAACACTCTACATGCACTTGGACGACTTTCGGACCCATTGCATTCTCACCAGTCCAACATTTCGAACGTATGTGGTCCCAAAAAACGTCACCAGTCCAACATTTTGAACGTATGTGGTCCCAAAAAACGTCACCAGTCCAACATTTTGAACGTATGTGGTCCCAAAAAACGTCCAAATGCATGCCGAGTGTTCTGTGGTGGATCGAGGCTCAAACAGCGACAAACGGAGGCAGACGCGTGAGGAAACAGCCTATACACAGACATACAGACGGACGGAAACAGACAGAGACCGATTACCATGCCTATCAGGGTTAAGACCCTCCCTCAAATTTCTCTTTTTTTTTTGGTGGGAAGACCTGTCATAACAGCAGCTCGATAACCTGTTTTTTTTGTTTGTTTTTTCAAGACAACGAATAATCATAATGACATAAAATCCCTCAACTCCTAATTGAGGGGGAGAGAAGCCATAAATCTCGACGTACCCAGACGGAGCAGAATCAGCAGATGGAAATCAGATGGAAATCTATGAGCATCATCGACGCCATCGACCACAGTCTTCCCCCGAACACAACGCACCCTGATAAGGAATGTGCACAAGCTTGGCCTATATTTTCCCGATCCCATTCAGCCAGAATGAGGGGGACAGGAGCTTAGCTTATCTTTCCGCTTCCCGTGCAGCCAGAGTGAGGGAGACAGGAGCATGCTTATGTACATTAGTCATCCGGGTGCGTTGCATTGGGGGCGGGAGGGGAGACGGTAGAACGGGGAACAGATGGGGAGAGGGTCACAGGAGCATGCATATAAAAGTGAGAGGACGTCCTCGTCTGAACCTGGCTTAAGTTACCATAGATAATCTGAGCATAGCAAAATTCTGCGGGTCCGTGTCGAGCTATGGAGGCAAGAGCATATACCCTAGAGGACATTTGCGACTGAACCTGGCTTTATTAGCCCTCGGAAACATTCACCGAAGAGAAAATGTAGGCGATGCAGTTTGAGAGGATGGGTAGTCGGCATTACCAAAAGCATATACCCCGAAAAGCCCACACACGAAACCACCTCCCAATACGAAAAGTGAAAAACTTACCGCATTGCACCAAGGCAGCCGCGCAGGCGACGAGAAGGAACATCAGGAGAGCAAAGCGCACAGGAGCCATTGTAACGTTCGTCTATTCGTGTACTGCAGCCGTCTCTCTCTCTCTCTCTCTCTCTCTCTCTCTCTCTCTCTCTCTCTCTCTCTCTCTCTCTCTCTCTCTCNCTCTCTCTCTCTCTCTCTCTCTCTCTCTCTCTCTCTCTCTCTCTCTCTCTCTCTCTCTCTCTCTCTCTCGGTTTATGGCGTTTCGCTTCACGACAGATTCGACAAGTTGGACCGGCTTCTTCGAGATTGCCGTCTGCAATGCCGTCACAGTATAAATAACCAGTGACTCGTCGGGGGACGGGCGGGGAAGGGGAAGCGGAAGGGGAAGGGGAAGGGAAACGGGTGGGAGTGGGGCCGGGAGCGGGAGCGGGGGCGGGGGCGGGAGAGCGAGGCAGAATGGAGCTGCAGAGTCGCGACCTTTTTTTTTTCTTTTTCTTTTTTTTTTTGAGAGAGAGAGAGAGAGAGGATTAGACGACCATCTTTTTCAACGCGACGCGCTTCTCGTTGGTCGTAACAACCAAGAGCCTCGCTCCACCACTCAACACATGCTCAAACGACCAAAATTATGGTGGTGCATCTTTCCATGTTCTACCGAAAGATTCGTTCTCATTCTGCACATCTGGTGAGTGGTGGAGTGATGCTCTGGGCCAGGCCGCGCTTGCAAGGATCTTTTGCAATCTGCGGGCAGAGCTTGAAACGAAGAAGTTCCGCAAGAAGCGGGACATCGCCCGGAAACAGGGTTGGATTTACTGACTGAATCTAGACGTGCTGATGGGAGAGGTGCAAAAATCAAGATTTTTCTTGCTTCTCCGCTTTTCTGCCTGAGCACACGTACACTTGATCGGCTTTTGAGAAGATTAGCATGGCCCCTGCGCAAGGATGCCACGCACAAATCGAGAAATGGTCCCTTTTCGGCTTTTCGTTACGTTGTCTTCATACGTCCATTCTCATTCGTTTTTTTTTTTTTTTTTTGGCATACTTTCATTCTTTTTTTCTTTTTCTTTTTTTAATTAAAAAAAAGGCTAATTCTTTAAGCCCAACCAATTCAATTACCTGTCAAGCCCAAAAAATAAAAAAAATTACCTGTCAAATCTGGACAGGACGGCCTTCAGGCCTTTTTTATTGTCATTGTAGTATTACGGGGAACCCGGAGCAGCCACATCCGTTCTCAAGCCTCCAACGAGGGAACATGCGGGAGCTGCACCCACCACCAGCAGGTGCCCGCAGGTGCTATACCTGCTACAGCAGGTGGGCGATACCGGCCAGGGGTCAGCCGGTAGCATCAGGACAGAGCTTCTTCGATGGGCCAGTCACTCTGCCTCCCCTCTGGTCCCCTCCCCTTGTGAACATCAGCAGTCTCTGCTCAATGCCACTCGGGGGGACCAACGGCATATCTCTAGGTGGCGGGCGCCAAGCTTGCCCAGGAAGGTGCATGAGGCCAATGGGGATTGAACCCAAGACCTCCTGAATGCCACTTGCGTGCCTTACCAACTGAGCTAGGCCCCTGGATCCGTACTTTCATTCTCATTTGCAGTATATTTTACTTTTTTAACTCGAAATCGGCGAATCATCTTGGGACTTGTGTTGTACTCCTTGCGCTCAGCCAATAAGGAAGGTACACAATTACATCTCTGGGAAAACAATAAACACAAAGAAAGTACATGATGGGACCTCTTTCAGCGGGCCCCTTCAGGTTCCTGCGTGTTCGGAATGCTGGCAAAATTCCTCTATCCTGCCTGTCTTGAAACACGGACTGAGGAGTGCAACGTGCATGCGAGCCCGTGGGTGATTAGCTCACTCCAACTGATTAAAAAATTTAGAAAGGAGAGCTGTCAGACCCTAGACGCTATTGAATTCCTACGGCGATTCCTAGGGCATCGCCACACCACTCTCGAAATGTGCCAAATGAGAACGAACTTTCCGCTAGAACACAACCAGATGCTAGGTCTACATTTAGTTTTGGACCCTGTGAGACTGTAGGCGGCCACGGAGATGCACTTAGTCCAAGTGATCTCGTGGTCGGATTTTAATAAAAAAGGCAATAGAGACTAACGTCTCTTTTTCTTCCAACAAAAAGGAGTAAATCCTTTCTTTCGAATACTACGCCCCCTACCATCCTGACTTTCCTTTGAGCTAGCTGTCTCATTTTTTTGAGACAGCCAGCTCAACGACCCTCTTGTTCCCCCAAATGGCGTTTTTTTCTAGAGAAACAGTACCAGCCTCCTTCGGTTTGCCATTTTTGTACAAAAGGGATTCTGGCAACTCACTCTTCATTTTCTGCTGTGGAAATACCTGTATGCCACTCCAATTGCGAAAAAAGAAAAAAACAGAACAATTGTATACGTGTCATTTATAAATGCATTTCTCATTTGAAATAGAATTAAAATGAACGTTTTCAGCTGTCACACCGTTGAGTTGCCTCAACTAAACGGTGCAAGTGGGACATGGTCCCAGGGCTTGCAAGGACGTCTTCAAAAATTACATGCGCAAGAAAAAGACTCGTCACAAAGTATCCTCATAAACGCCCGTAATCTCCGGAATTCAAAACGCCCAAAAGAAAAAGAAGTCCGAGAGGGCTCGCTAAGACGCGCATAAATCCCAAATGCAAACTTGGAAGGTGGAACAAATCACACCAATAATTCTCAAAGTTGCAAAATAAAAGGATTGGATTAAACCACTACTACCTTTCCTGCTTAAAAACAATACCCCTGGGGCCAAGTCCCACTTACGCTGATTCTTAATTTCTGGCCATTGATCTTCTGAATCTACGGTCGGAAGTAGAGAATTCGGGTAAGTGGGACTTGGCCCCTTGGGCCTGGACCCATTAGCGAAGTATTCTACCACTTCGTTCAGGATTTCGATCACGTGTGGTCTCGAGTGACACAGTACGACCGTTGAATGGATCGGATCTCGAGGGCCTGGTAGTTTCCGAGCGGGGACTGTAAACATACCCACGACGTCCAATGAGATGCATTGAAAAAAAAAAAAAAAAAAAAAAAAAGTTGGACATGATAGGTCGTGGCTTTGCATGGGCGGGAAGTCTGGATTTTCTGCACTCCAAAGGGGGGGGGTTGATTTCCAGACTTCATTTTCTTTTTTTTTGGCTCTGAGAAATACAACTTGAAATGTGAAATTCAGATATCGTGGTGGATCTGACAGGAACGCTTCCGCGTCTGTCGGATGGCCTGTTAGAGGCATCATGACATACATGGTGACGAATGTATCCCCATACCCAGTACTTGGTCATCCTCGTGGCTGTGTTCGTGGGCACATTTTATTGCCACGGTACATCACTATGAAGACTTACGTGAAGGAGATCGTACCAACCCATGAATTCGGGTGCACAGCTGTTCTTCATAGTTTTATGTGCTATTTCAGTTCGTTTTAAATCAGAAAATGATCCATTCATGCAAATAAAAAATCACTTTGTATTTTTCAAAAAAGCATAAAATAGTGTCACACATCGTAGAATACTTCGCTAGTGGGTCCAGGCATGTGACGCTCAACCTTATGCCCTGCACTGCTTCCCGGTCGGAGTGTTTTGGTTTGCGGAAGGGGGCCCGGGGAAAGGCAGAAAAGATGGGGTGTGCCAAGGATTTTTGAAAATTGAGTGCGGGGACACAGACAGAACTGAAATCCCCCATGTTGGTCCGACGGTAGTAAGAAGAAGGTTCGTCTCTGCGCGGGTTTTAAGGGAGAAAAAGGCACACGCGAGACTCGCAACTACGGGAAATTCAATCCACTGGACTTCCCACCGAGCCGTTGTCGAGTGCATCGGTTCAGCACCACCCAAGAGCAGCGCGGGACTCTCCCGGCCGCGTCACGCAGGAGTTGGTTTATTCCTTCGTCGCGAATATACATGGAGCTTCCGCAAGCCGCTCCGGCCAAGTGCGCCAGCCATACCTCTCGCGAGCCCCTACGATAGGATAGGGCCTACGCGAGGCACGACTTACCTCCACCTCGCAGGACCTGTCACCTCCCTTCGGTGGGCGTATCCTCGCCTAGCTACCAGTCCACAGTACGAAAGTTGCAATTGCAGAGGTGGACCAGCCGAGGGCGTTTCTCGTTCGTTGTAGCATAGGGGGTACGCGCAGTATTCCGCCTATCGGACCCGCACGCGAACCGACATCTTGGGGGGCTGAAGTCCCAAGTGCGACTCGGCGGCGGTCGACTAGGACGTATCTCACTCACCACACGCACGATACTCTAACAGACGCAAAAATAAAACACACACACATACGCACACATACACAAAAGAACGCGGCCAAACAACGTGATAACACTCCTAGTCCCTTCAGTAGCCATCCCATAACTTTCCGATGCGGAAATCAGATAGGCGTTGCGCGCGGGACTTTAGTATAAAACCGCGCGGACACGAGGCCTACTCATGCCGACTAGTAATGCAATCATTCGCAAACAGTCGCAATGAAGGCGTACTATGTAGTACCCATACTCATGCGGTCCTTGTTAGTCTCGAGGGTCGCATTCGACTCTCAAGTGTCGGCTGACACGCGCCTTGAGGGTTAATCTCTCGACGCTGGACAACCGCCAAGTGCGGTTGAGAACCACACCCTCTTCTGCACCCTGCGGAGAGTGGGTGGTGCACAGGTTCGTACCTGTGGTGGCAATCGTCTCTTATGACCCTGGAGACCAGCTCCTTCCCTAGGGCCTGGAAGCGAGTCAAGGGGTTTGACTTTGACGGTTGCCACGGACTGCAACGTCCAACTATAGTAACTCTAAAAAGCAAAAATAGGTCGAAGGCCTCCCCATCCCAAAATCACAAACTTCGGTAACCTTTTGGTTGGCACCAACGATCTATACTGACTCTGGACACACATGTACACATACGAATCACTTAGTCTCCTAACTCAAGACACTAGGACGGGCGAACATCGAGCGCAAGATTTTGTTATAAAGTTGCGCGGTAGCAAGCCTTTCTTACATCAACCGGCGATGTTAGTCATACACGGCAATCGCAGTTTCGGCCTCGCGGTATTGAATGACTGAAGAAATATATCGTAAGGGGTTGCCCTTCACGATATTGAACGGCAGAACGATATGTCGTTCAGCCCTCGCGACATTTCTGGCCTCAGGGTCGGGTGTCTCGACGAGCAGGGCAGATAGGTTCTGTACCGGGGAAAATTCCTTTCCTGCAGAGTCTAGGGTCAGGGATGTTCTGGACAAGGACCTCGAATTCAGGCTCAGGACTAATGTCCGACTAAGAAATCCCTAAGAAGCATACAA